AGAAAATTGTCATCTGAGAAGAGCTAAGCAGATGGGGAATTGTAATTGTTGCTACCAGTGGGCTACAGGTTGTGCACCCAGCTACTAAGCATCCATTTTGGGCAGGGACTGTCATTTTCTCTAGACAGAGCAAAACACAAAGGAACCTGCCTACCTGACATATAGGCCTTACCGCAATATAAATATTGAACAATTATCTATGTGTTTCTTGCCTTAGCCTTTCTCCCCCTCCCTTTTCCCTCCTGTTTGTTTTTTTCACATATTATGTCTCATTTTAAGTCCTTCTGAGCAGGATTATCTTTAAACAGTGCCCATTATGGTGGGGCCCTGACATGACTGAAGCCTCTGGGTGCCACAAAAATATAACTTGAGGATGTTTATAATTAGAGGTATAAATGTTGGCATGTCAGCTAATAATACAGTAAGGGAAGCTCATACACCCAGATACTAAATATTCTTATGGAACATCCCTTACTTCTCAAGTTGGTTTCACAGTTTAGACTTCAAGTGGATCATTTAGTAAAATTAGTGGGAGCAGTTACTCCATTTTCCTAGCACAGAATGAACAAATTACAGGTGCCTCCAAAAGCTAGAAAATATCTTGAGCATCTGATCCACCCTGAGGCAGAGCATGCCACCATTTTGCTCTAAACAGATCCAAGCTCCTACTTTGGAAAACAACGTGATCTGCAGATATGACAACATATGTCAGTCCTGAAAATGCAGCTTATCACTGGGCAGTCTTCCTTTGAAAAATGAAACAGCTTGGTGCTTATTGTCTCCCACTTAGAAACAAAAGTTTCTGAGGTAGTCACAGGCAGATGGGTGTCATTGTTAACTATGTTTATTTCATAATATACCTACCGCGGCAAACTGGTAGCAGAGAAATAGACACATTCCAGCCAACTTTTGGAACAGTGGCTGCACACAATTTTATTTTTCAACAAAAAGTATTAAAAAGTAACCAAATGGGCGACTGGAATTAATGGCCTTACATTCTTTGTTGGTGGTCTGTATGTCAGAGGTAGTATGTTGCCGAGGTCATTTTCTAACCATCTTATATTTTTTTTGATAAAAGCCACACTAAATGGTGATGCACATTTACAGTGGCTAAATGGGACATTGTACCTTTTAAGACTGTCTTGCATCTTACTTGAAATGTTATTTGAAATGGCTTGAAATGTGGCTTGAATGCCTAGCTAAACAGGAAAAAGGAGTATTTCCATAGGATGGCATTGCCTAGAGTTGGTCCTTAGGTCTGAAGTAACAACTCAGTAATGATGCAGTAACTCAAGTGTGCTCCCTAACCGTTGAACCCAGTTTGGAAGGCACTGGAAATCTGGTTTGTTTTGTCTATATTGTATGCCGGATATGCTGATGGGGGTGTAGTTTGAGGACTTTTTTTTTCTTAAACCATCTGTTAAGATTGTATTTAAAACTGTGTCATGCAAAGCATAACATGCTTTTGGCCTTTTGATACTGGAAATAGGACTGCCATGTGTAAACAGGTTCCTGTACATGGATCCTAGCATACTGAAGTGTCACATTAGTAGAATTAGCAGTTACGTAGATTGGTAAATTATAGGCCTGAAGGGACTATAGTGCTCATCTAGCCTGACTGCCTGTATAATACAGAGAAAATGGGAAAGGTTTTTCAGTTCACCGACCTCTAAAAGAGAGAGAGAGAAGAAAACCAACCTAGTATTAGGGTTAATATTGAACGTAGCATCCAGACCAGTAACCTTCATGGCTCAGCTTGATTCCCAGGGAAGTCAGGGACAAATGTCTCTACTCAATTCCCTCTCCTAGCCCATTCAGCACTTCTAAGAATTAGCTGGGGAACTGCAAATAATTTGTCTTGTTCCTTCTCATTTTCCCTTTACTTTAAAACATGCATCTGCTGTCTTGAAGTTCAGTATCCCATTTGTCTAATTTCACTCTCATGCGACTGTGGTATTGAGAGGGAAAAAAAGACAGGTTTGTGAAATGCAAAACTTTTCACCCAGCATAGGTAGATGGTGTAATCAGTGTCTTAACTAGACCAAATCATAAACAACAGTGTATTGCTTTTGGGTTAAAGTCATCAGAAAAACCAATAATGTCTTCATTTCTTTAACAGATAATCCTGAAATAATCAGCAGAAATGGAATGGAATGTCAAGAAGCCTCACTGAGAATGGCAAAACATTGTTACTGTACATACTGTCCTGTTTCCTCCTCTTTAGAGTTGCCACAAACTGCATGCTAAGTAAAGATTTTGTTCTTATGGACAAATCACAAACTCTAAGAAGCTAGTGCTGCTATGTTATATATGAATAGTAAATATGGTATGCTTACTGTATCCCAACCTAAAATAGTTAACTACCTGATACCAGCTGTGATGTTTCAAGACTTAAAGGGTACATTTACTTTTAAAGATTTTATAAACATAGTTTACTTCTTAGGAATATTGTCTTATCTCCATAACTATAGCGAATGCAAATGGTCCAATTAATTTAGTATTATAAGATTCATGACGTTATGAATCTTTCAAGTTTAGCAATAATTCATTTATATTGGCTAAGATATATCCCAGTTGCAGGTTTATTTTTAACCCTAATTATACATGTTTTGTTTTTTTCCTTGGTTAAAGTAGTCCTGTGTTTACTTCCCTAGTGAGTTGATTCCCAGACAAAGAAAGGAAGTGAAACACACTACAGTCCTTGTGCTCATCACCCTGCCAGTCTACAATTTTAAATAGAAAACCCAAAGCAAAGCACAAATCTTTAGATGCACCTAAGTTGATATTTGACTTGGATGAACAAGCTGCATTGAATCGTGGGATTCTAGAATAGCAAAAGAAAAATCTAAAACTTTGCACGGTATGAATCTCATACCCCCAACAAAGTCTTGAAAATTTTATTTTACAAGTATATTTATAATGTTTTTAAAAGAGACTTTGCAGAAGTGCCTAAAATTTGCCACATCAGACTTGAAGGAAGTGAGGCTGATGCCAACAATCTAATATACAGTAAGTGATAAATGTTTCAAAATTGCAATCAGATTATCACAAAGAGCCAAGCTATTAAGTAACTTCTATAAACAACCAAACAGCTAATTAAAGAGGCTGTAGGTGAGGAGATTTCTATGATATTCTCATTTAAAAAAAATGAATTCAGTCACTGAAAACCTGGTAAGTGACTTTAATCTAGATTATTAATGAAAAATTAAACGTGTAGTGAGCGCTTAAGTTTAATAAACCATTACTGTTCTTGTATTTTTTAAATTAGATTATAGGATGATAACTGGATTACAGAGTGGAGAAATAATACTAGTTATTTTAATCTTTTTTCTTTAAAACATTTTATGTCACAAAGTATGAAGATATCTTTAATACAATTATATACATATTATATATACATACATACATACATATATATGGATGAAACAGATTTTAATGTTGTTTACTTTTTTAAATGATTTGTTGATTTACACAGTAATTATATATGTACAACTAAAATTTCATTTAAGTTTGGTTTAAGATTTGTTTCAAGCACTATTGTACCAAATATTTCATATTTCACATTTTACATGTTGCACATGTGTCACATAAATACATCGTTTTTAAATTATGATTTAAAAAACAAAACAGCTGTTATAAATGAATATTATGTATAATTGTTTGCAGCATCAGTTTTCTATGTGGACATTATTAGTGATTGCAGTATTTTAACTTAAACTTTACAGATTGATTGTAAAATATTTTAAACTTTGGCAGCACTGCCTGTTCTGAAAGACTAGAGGCACTAACAACATGATTATTTGTTTTGGAAATGACTTCCCATTCTAAATCTTGTTTGTCAAATGTCTAATTACTATCTCTTTACATTAAGATTGTAGATTTGATCACCCAGAAGAAAACAAAATCACAATCTGATTGTAAAATTAACATAGTGCTTGTAATGTTGCATTTGTTTTAATTTGTGGGAAAATAATGTATCTTAACTAGTTCCTTTAGCAGTTAAGGTATCACCATTATGTACTATTAAAACACTAATGTTTGTAGACTTTCTCAGTCATTTTAACCGGGTAGTTGACACTGCAACTTGCCTATATCTGTCAAAGTTGTTTTTATTTTATTTTTTTTAATACTAGTTAATTTAGGCATTTTGGTAGCATATTGTATAATACTAAATGGTAAATTATCCACGTTGTTTAAATATTTTCTGTAGTGAACTCTTTAAAACATTGTTTTGTGTGATCTTTTTATGTTTCAGAATAATTATTCTATATTTTTTACAGTTAATCCAATATTACTATTTTTGGCCCGTTGATGACAACATTCCAGATACATCAGGGCTTACATCCAGACAAATTTACACACAAAAGAAAAAATGTATTTTTAATATGAGATCCATTTTCCGACTTTATGACTTTGTAATATTCCTCAAAACTGTGAAAGTGCAAACCTATGCTAACAAGGAGGCAATTACGCAGATGAGCAAATAAATGTAGAACAGATTCTGCATTTTATTTATTTATAAAGTAATTTTATAGAATATTTCAAAATTTGGGAAGATCTAAAACTATTTTTCTGTATAAATATTATTTGCCAAAACTTTGTTTATATTTTAAAAAGAAAGTCTAATGGAGATGAATAAATCTTAAATGCTTTGTTGAATTAAAGAAAAGGAACTCCCCAGAAAAAACCATGAGATGGGCCAACACTGAGAAACTATAGTTGAGAGGTAATTTCAAGTTACTTGAGATGTCTCTGTATTTATTTTGTACAAATGAAACAGCACTTCACCAAAATACCTTATCATTTGCCTCTCTCATACAAAATATAATTGACAACAGTTCTACTGACTATTTCAATAACAGTTTAAGAATCCCCTTTATTCATTCCTTTCACTGTAACCATAGCAATCTGTTAAAATATCCATTATATTTTTGTTGTGACGTTAAATTTATTCACCCAATGTGCAACCACTGAAATAAAAAGAAGCATTTTAAAACGATTGCAGTAGTGCAGTGTTCTTTCTTTCAGGTTTCTCTCTCCTTTTTTTTTTCATTGTACAAGTAGAAGAGATTAAATTCCATAAAGTAAACCATTCTGGCTCAGGACAAAACAGTGTTCTGCATAGTGGGGACAGAATTCTCCATTCCTTTTCCTTAACCATTAGGCAATGGAGCTGACAACTGCTACATCAGTGGTGGCCGATGTGCCACATGCTTGCCACAAGTGGCATGGGTAATGTCTGTTTGCAGGCAGCAAATCAGACACAGTATATATGTAGCAGAGCAGCTGCTAAGTCAGGGAGCAGAAAACAGAGCAGCGGGTTACGCAGGGAACAAAAAACAGAGCGGCGGATCAGGCAGGGAAAAGAGATCAGAGTGACACTCAGGGAGGGCACAGGGCTAATCTGTGGCATGCCTGCCAAAAAGGTAGGCCCCACTATGCTACAGCATCATCCATAGCCACTGTATACATCCTTTGCACTAGGGAGTTTGCATGCTATACCTTTATGGTTTTCTGTCCCCTGGTCTTGGGTCTACTCTGGGAATGCTCCCTTCTCTTACATGGATTCCCAGCAGCTTCTGCCTCTATACAAAAGCTGTACCTGTTCCATGGCACTGAGCAGTTTCCACAGATTTACCCTTAGCAGTACAATAATTGTATGTCCCTTCTCTGCATGTACAAACTTGTGCATAATGTTGTCATCTGTGCACTGCAGCTCGCAGATGTATAACTACCATTTATTCAAAACATTCCTGCCTGAATCTCACAGACTGTTATAAAGGAGCTCTATTATCCACATATTCCTAAAGAGGAGGCATAGGCTCAGAGAAGTTTAAGTTATTTGTTCAACGCCTGAGATCTCACAATAAGCCAGTGACAAAACAGGGGTCAACATTTCTGGCCACATCCAGGCAAACACGGCCGTACGCCACAGACATGTCTGTAGTGCCACTTACCACACATTCAGTTGTCCTCTGCACTAAAAGGGAGCAGCATGGAGGGGATTTTTTTGACCCCTGGATATCCAGTGGTCAAAAAAAAACCAAAAAAAGTGGAGTGGCATACACTGTGGCAGAATGCATTGCCCAAAGCCAGAGCCTGGCCAGCCAGAACCACATTCCGCTGCCAGCTAGTCTCCACGCAGCAGGATCCTCACCACTGCAGTCCAGTGCTGGCACCAGCCTTCCCTACGCCATCCAGGGTAACTTGCCGTGCACCCGCGCGCGTGTGGCATAGGTGTTCTCTGGGGACAACTAGTGGCAGCACAAGATGTGCCACCATTACTTGTCCCCAGGGAACCAAATGTCCACGCATGTCTGGATGCAGTCTCTGATTCATAGTCCCATGATCTTTTCACAAGGCTGTGATAACAACTGAAACTTCAGTAGCAGGGAAGTATCAATTGCATGTGGTGTAGACAGAAAGAAGAGCGTGAAGTTAAGATTGTTGTGGGGATGCAGCCTTGCTTCCTCTAGAGGGAGGAAACATCCATAGATGGGTTTTACCTCTTTGTCAGAAGCCAGGGATTAGCGTGGAGGCTGAACTCCTTTCTCATCCCTAGAAGCATTCACTTATGGTAAAAATGGGGCTTACACTGTGCTGCAAATGCAGTACCGGTTTCATTGGCAAATATGATTTTAGTTTCTAAACCTGTCAGTCCTACACCTGTGAGTGCAACCTTTATTTACATTCCATTTTTTTAGGAGAGAAAACTGCAGATCTCTTCACAGCATGAAGGAAAAGAAGGGTTCGTTAACCCATTGGATCAGCAAAGGGCTAGTTTGAGAGGAATGCAACATTGCAAGGCGATTTTGGAAAACCACCAGGTGAGCTGGTCAAATTGCAGGTGTCACAAATTGAGGGAGGCAAGAAATGTGTGTGTAGTCCGAAGAAGGGAAGGGGAAGGGAAGTGATAAAAAAAAAAAAATGGTAAAAGGAAGGAAGAAAAAAATGTGAATATGTCTAAGTAAGGATTCAAATTGAATTATTAAAACTTCTGAGCATCACCTCTCTCCTTTTATATTTTCTTATACTTGGCCTCATTCTAGTGTCATATTTGGACAGCTGATGGCTGCTAAGAAGAGACAGGGAACATTTATATTAATTTTAATATTTTAAAAACACTCACACTTTGCAATTTTGGCAGTTTTCATAGATCCTTCTGTGAACTTTTTCTGCTGCACAGAGCCCAATGGGTAGTTTTGCATTCTGCCCAGTAAGCCTACATATCCTCAACTAATTGTGGGATTTTTAAAATGAAACAAGACCCTTTACAGAGTTGAAAACTAATAATTATTAGGTATTTCTGTCAAGTCTCACCCAAAACTAAGGCAACAGTATCTGGATCATGACCGCAGTAGTGTGCCAAGATTTTACTGAGTCCTCTTCTGAAGTCATTTTCTTTCTTGAATTTAGTAGATCCTTGAAATGCTTTGAATGGCCTTGCTATATGTCTTTTGGCATAACATCATTTGCATCAGTAGCAAAACAGTGGATGGGTGACTGGGCATGAGCTGCAGGCAGTGGCCAAGGAGGAAGGAAAAGGTTGCCTCACCTTCCCATCCCCTGTCTCCCACCTTGCACCTTCCCTGCAGTGGCTCCAGTGGCAAGCAGGGCCAAGTGCCAGTAGGCAGAAGTTCCTTGCTACTAGGGAGAGATATCAACTTCTTTTTGCCACCAAAAATCAGCATTTAAATGGCTGCTTAACGTGTCAGTGGCAAAAAAAAGTGACATCTCCCCTACAGCAGCCAACTTCTGGCTGCTGCTCATGTACCATGCACCACTGCCACCCAATGTGCAGTACCAGAAAATTACACCTCCTTTCCTTTGCAGAGTCTGCTTGCTTAGGCCTTGATCTCCTTTTCAAATGCCATAAGAAAGGTATTTTTTGGCTATGACTTTTTAATGGATCAAGATTCTTTTTATTGCTGTGGGTAGGAGGTACATTCAGGATTGCTCTATCAAAGGGTTTAATAAAAGAGTGAAGCAGATACAGCATGATGAAATCCATGGCAAGGTTATCTGTGAATGGATGATATCAATTAATGTGCAAACAAGATATGAAAATATTTCCTACCACAAAGATGAAAAAGAACATTTTCAAATATGAAAGGGAAAGGGCTGGCCTGGAATTGAGAAACGTTTCAAAGAAGGAAAGAAGCATTCATACCTTGTTATATAATTGTACTGCTTCCCACCAGCAGTGCCTAAAGAATGAGGGAAAAGCTAGTGTATACATGAACAGAAGGGTGATATACTGCCCCTTTGTCTTTGAAGAGCTGAGCTCAAAACCTAGTTTCAGATAAAAATTGATGTGTGAGCTACATCCAACTCTGTTCACATCACAAGCAACAGTTTAACCCAAATGCTGATCTCTGAGTCCCAAGCCCAGAATAGCACAAGGTCCCCAGAAATCCTGGTGATGAGGGTAATGTAAATAAGGCAGGATTTGCATGCAGTGGAGAACCTGGCTTGAGGTACAGATGCTCAACTGCATGCCTCTGCTAAACTTGAGGCAAGCCAATTTCAGTAGTAATAAATTCACCTTTAATTCACAGAGGGGAATACAAGTAGATGTTTTGCCTTTACCTCTATCTGAAAAATGTCACTAAGTTGAGTGAAAGTAGAATCAAGAAGTGTCTGACAGTATTTTTTTTGTACTTGTTCATATACCACTAAAAGTGTTATTCAGAATTAATGAAAGCCCTCTCTTCAGTTTGAGGAAATTGCTAATGCTTTTCCCATGAACATAATTTTAAATTTGTAGTATTTTAAACAATAAGGAACTAGCAACCCACCCAGTGGTTGGAATTTTTAAAGTGTTACCAACAGCAATTAAAAAAAAATAATGGATGAGGTACTGACAGTAATCAGACTGGCTGTTTAATCTCATTCTTTTAAAAAAACAAAGTGTTGGGTTTTGAGCATTTAGGGCGTATCCACACATGCAAGCACATGCGCTGCAGCAGCTCAAATAGAAGTGGTGCAAATTTGAGCTGGGGCTATTTGTTTCAGCGCCCATGCTCAGACATGCACCTTGGTGTGGAGCAAATTGTGTCACTTGGGGCAAAACAACCCTGCCTGGCTCCTCCCAGATCTGCAGCCAGGGGGGGAGAGAGCCTGGGGCCAGCACCTATGCTGTCCCCAGCGGTATAAGAAGCTGCCCTGGCAAGTAGCTCAGGGCTACTAGCTCTCAGGAGCTTCTGGGTCCCAGCCAGTTGGTACCTGGGGACACTACCCCTTGTTCCAGATGGACTGCTGCAGCAGCCCTGAGAGTTCCCTGCACCCTCTACCCACTGCAGCAGTCTGGCAGTGGGGGCTGCTGCTTGGCTGTGACCTGCTGTGCACCTGCCAGACTCAGATGGGGACTGCAGAGCCAGTAGAGGCATCTGCCCCTCTGGGCCAGCTGCCAGTAGACTGTGGTTGCGGGGTTGGCCTCTGTACGGCACTACTGCCACGTGTGCCCCCTGCCATCTGGGCAGCTATTGCCGGAAGGTGTGACAGACCCCAGGTGGCCACCCCCACCTATTAATTGTCCTGCATTGTCCTGCATGGCAACTTACCAACCATTTTGTGCTTACCACCTGCCAAAAATCAGCATTGGAGGCATCCACTGAACCCAATGCAAACATCACTAACCACTGATGGCGCCCATCTACCTAACCATACAGCTTTCAGGGAGGTCATTGGATCCATCCACCTCAGCAAGTTTGGACTTTTATGCCCCCCTCACCTCCACCCATCCTCTACCCACTATGCCTCCTCACTCCAAATGTAGCATCATGAACAAGTGCAGCAGCAGCTGGATCAGGGAGGAGGAAGTGGATCTCATCACCATCTGGGATGAGATTGAGAACCAACAGACACCCCTGTCAGGTCACCAGAACAAAGTGGTCTATAAACAGATCACAAAGGAAATGGCCTGGGGACATGACCATGACTGGGCCCAGTGCCAATCCAAATGCAAGGTACTGAGGCAGCACTTCACAAGGACATGGG